GTCCGCAACTGCACCAGGTCCGGTAAATGACTCCTGACGTTTCCTGCCGTGGCAGAGGGTCTTTCGGCCTCATGACTTGCCGCCTGATGGTTGTTTCCGGCCTGTGTGCAACCCCAGCTCCAAGTGGAGTGAAAAGAAGACTGAGGGCTTCCGAGACGTTCTTTACGTACGGAAGAACCCGCCAAAATTTGGGGCCGGTTGGATTTGATCTCTGGTGTGATTTTCGTATTCACTGGTTGAAAAAGTTGCGCGGGTGGTCATTGGCTCTTAGTACCCGTTGAAGATGTTGTAAGTCAACAACCTTGTCTTCCATTTCACTGCAGTGCGTCTCAACGCGTCGGTATAGAGCCCTTAATCAGCTGCGTTTGGGACTAATCGGGTGGTTGCTGTTGAAGTTCAGTATTTGCGTCGTATTTGTCCCTTTCCTGAACACTTTAGTTTTTAGAACAACACGATCTTCACGGCAGACGAGGACATTCAGGAAGGCCAGATGGTGACTCTCGGGCAGCTTTTACCTCAGCAACCCACACAACTTAATGGATGCTGATTTTATCGAAGTAAATCTATGTCTCAAGCTCTGGGAGGAGGATGAAGAGTTCATTATTGGGTAGGTGCGCATACATGAACAGGGTGAGCAGGATCTGCCCCGACTATGACAATGCAATTGGCCAGCAGGACGCTAACGTGTTCCTCCAGCAAACCTGCGCATAAAGCAAAAGTCCAGAAGCATTTCTTGGAACAACAAATTAAGACAACAATGCAGTAAAAACCCAAACTATGCCTACTGACTGCCCCTGGATACCCAGGGGCGCAGGAGCAGAGAGAGCGAAGGCCGGAAATCAGAAAAGGACGTCCGTCTCGCGCACGTTACAGAAGGCAGCGTTCAATGTTTGTTTACCCTTACATCCGACCGTACCGTAGTCACCCAAATGGGATAAGGCCAGTATGACTGGAAAATAGTCAGTAAACGACAAAATAATCTCTCAAGTCGACGAGTTCATATTTTATGTGGCAGGACGGATAAATTATTTATAGTGATACGGTCTACCTTGCCAAATAAATACTTCCAGGTCACAACTTCGTGTACCCGAATAAACGTCGAGTGGAATAATCCCATGTCATTAATTTTATAGAACTGAGGCGGAAAAGCTGTTTCAGAGCACGCACCTGAAGCTCTTTGGTACCAGGGCCTGTTCTATTCATATAACCGTTCCCAGACTACTTTACGCAACTCTGGGTTATACAACAATCTCTGTTTTCACTTTTTCTAATAACTGGAGCACAAACATTTTCAGTTGTGTTCAAAGCCCAAAAGAAATGGCTACGAACTCCTCTGAGACTGGAAAACCACAGACGATTAAACATCATATGAAACTATATCAGTACCAGCGCCCAAGATGCATGCGCAAAAAGTTGACTAACAAATTCTAATCTAACCTGCGTGGATACCAATTTACGCCCACTGCAAAAGGCCGACTGCCCACGGGAGCCATTATGAGAACCTGAGAAGTATGCTGATGTTACCAGACTATTTTTCATTAATTAATTATTGATCGTAATTTCCAGGGCGCTTTCCGTTTACAAAATATACGCATTTACTATTACATGCTGAGTTACTTCTTGACGGCCTAGTTTGAATTGTGTGTCGCGGCCATGCGAGAAACGCAGCTTCTTCTGGTCTGGAAATCGCCGCCTTCTCCTGGTTGGATAGAGGCTTTGGACAGACGTCTGTGCTTGAGCATGCGGTACTACATTTTAGCGCCAAATAATTCGAAGTGTGCTTACTGTAAACGTTAAGTATATATATAGGCTGTTTAACACCAAATACACGCGTCGAGCTGTGGTCGAGACAGAAAATACGTGCTTCCAAAGCCAAAAAAATAAGTTGCTAGATAGTTTTGCTGCGGAATTGTGAGGGAGTGAATAGTCGGAATTTTGATAAGAAATTTCGACGAGGATCGTTTATGTCGTTCTCCCTGCGGGAGATGGGCGAAGGAACGCCCCCTCCCTTAATGCGAGTGACCTTACGCGCAATTCCAGGGAAGGTACCTATGTCCGTGTCTTAACTCTAGCAATAACCCTAACCCCGACCGTAACCCTAACCACAATCTTAATCCCATCCCCAACCTTAGTCCAAACCCCGATTAACCCCAATGTTAAACCCCACCCCAAACTTAGTCGTAACACCAACCTGGACACTAACAATAATCCCGCTAAAATTTAGCGCAAAATCACCTGTATTGTCTGAGTTCCTATTCGCATGTCCTGCTGGGGGCCATAGAAAGGACCCATACCGAAATTTCACTTAACGGTAAACAGAAGGTAAAAGGCAGCTGAGCGTATTTTCCAGGTGACAAAATAAAACATAGTGTAGTTGTGAATGTGGCTCACTAAGTCAGGGATTCAAGAGACATGCTTTTAATATTTAACAAGACCTCAGCTTAGCCAAGCAGTTTCTACTCCGAGTGAAAATGCCAGGGTGATTTTAGATTAGGTCTCAACTTCAAATGGGTTCTCATAGCGTGCGCGTTGCCCTGGCGTCTTTACGATGTGGGTCAAACAAATATCACTTTATGACAATGATTTGCACTTCGTTAGACGACAGCCTGCGAGCGTTCTGAACTTGACCACCAAGGCAGAATGGGACGTCCCCATTTGACCTCGCGATCGAGATAGTCAGATGAATGTCAATATAATTTGTGTATGAGGTACGCCAATTTATGCTTTTTGCGTTTTCATCAGCGGCTCACTGTTCTAAATATGTCCCTTGAGATAACCTTCAGAGCAAATACACCGGCACTACAAGGCTCACAAGAAGTGTACGTAACCACGTGGCATTTCTTATCCTTATTCATCCTGCCTGCAGTTGCTACAGGATGGCAGCTTCCATATTTTTCTGACTAACGGCCATCTGCAAATCATAGTTTAATTAGAGTTCCCATTTGTCATTTGTCCAATTTCTCATTGATTCATACTAAACCTTTTCCGGACAGGAGTGATTTCGTAGCTCTGATCAGGACTGTGATAGTTCGTCCGTCGGATGCGATGAAGTCCACACTGTACCTCACGGAATGGGCTCCACACCGGTGACTTGCGCATGAAGTAGCTTACAGTGGGCAGACTTGTACAGTGTCTGTCGCACTCTCTCCGTCCTCATCCACCAGGCCTCGATGGCAAGACAATGTCAGAACGATTGGTGGTGGGTGCGAACACAGTGGCTGACCAAGTTGAATAGCCCACCCACGAGTGCCACCTGATCCCTGCACGGTGCGTGCGGTTTTCACTAAATGGGGTGGCTCGTGCCCCTAAGTGGGGCCATCATAAAGGCCGCATTAAGAGCGATCTATTGAGTCCGAGTCTCAGTCCTCCAGCCAGTCACCTCACGTGCGCATGACAGTTGGACCGTCCATTTCGACGATGTCCATCATGTTCCACAGCAAGGTGGGAGCAGGCACAGTAAATTGAGCGTGAATTAGTTTTCAGTGACGCTGGACTTACACAGCATCTACCGCACTCTCTCCTTCTCCGCCAACTGAATCGAGTGTCATAACCAAGTCAAGAAGACCGAAGGTGAGAGAGGACGCAGGTGGCTGACACGACGTAAACTTCTGATAGAAGCGAACAGGCGAGTCCCAGGTAGCAGTTCATAAGATGAAAATGCGATCACTGGAACAGTTCCAGTGATCGCATCTTCATCTTCTGAACGACGTAAACTCTCACCTAAGCATACCACCACACCCCTCGTCCACAACAATACTCGATCAGGACTTTACACACAAAAAAGAAAAGTGGACGGTTCGGGTCCCAAAAGGGTGGGAGTGCTATAGAGACCAAACTAAGAAGGAGTCCTTGCAGACTGACGCTCAGTCCGCCAGCCAGCTGGACCGACTGGTAATTCCGAGTTATCCCGTCAGTTGACAACCTTCCACTCAGCATTAGAACACAGTGAGCACAGCAAGAATAAAGGGGGCAGATGCAACAAAAGCGCCCTCTCTAGAAGTAAACCCGCGTGTAACTCTCCCCTGGGCCTAATCCGGGACACCGGCGGTCGTCGTTGCTCGCGATGAAACACTCATAAGAACACAGATGGACGTGAGTTTATTCAAACGAAAATGCACAAGATGCAGTTTTGAAATTCGTGGGTTTTTAAAAAATGTGCAGTTAGTAGCAAACCATAACAAAACCTGAATGTTTCCTTCTATTAAACATTGCATTTTGTGCGCATCCTCTCAACGAAATGCTTAGATTTCTAGGCGTCAAAAATCCACTAAAAGTACACAGCGCAGGTGCGATTTGCAAATGTACTTTGGGAGTCAAGTCAGTTCCACATGCTACTGTGGTGCTGCCACACGCGTTATCAAAGTAATGTTTGCCGTTTGAAGTATGTGGAGTAATCTTTGTCAGCTTTTCATGGGACTTATGGCATTCGAGCCCCCTTGCCAGTAATTCCCATCAAATGCACTTAACCCGGACACCACCGAACTTTCAGGTCTACTTGTGTCCCACTGAATTTCAAGCAATACTAAGCAAACCACAGAAACGCCGAGGTCGAAAGCAAGGAATTAATGGACTACTGAACCGCCCACAATTGTAAGGGAAATTTCGAATCTACGCTAACATCATAAGCTAAACTTTACACCAAAACAAGTTATACAAAGGAGCGCCCAATGGAGTCGTCCTTCAGCGTCTGAGGAAAATAACGGCTTATTAGATCCGTTGCTATTTTGCCGCCAGTCATCCTCCTGGCCGCCGCCCACCTTCATGTGGTAGACGTCACCGTGAAGATCTTTGTCCTGCTCAGACGATCTCAGGTTGTGCGTGACTCCAGGACGGGGCCCAACCAAGCCGGATTTCGTGCTGGACGTGGAGGCGCGGGCCAGGTATTCACATTACGGCGCATTCTCGAATTTCGCCATAGATACTGGCAACCGACGGCCGTTTGCTTTGTTGACTTTGCTGCCACGTTCGATTCCGTCTATCGTGAGTCCCTATGGCGAATAATGGCACTAGATGGTGTACCGGCAAAAGTCATCGCCATAATCAAGACCTGTTATCGCTCTACTACTGCGAGAGTTCTGGCCCGCAACAATCTTCCTCAGTCGTCTGGTATTCGGTCTGGCATTCGGCAGGGTTGTATCCTGTCGCCCATTCTGTTCAACTATGTTATTGGCTGGATCCTCGTGAGGGCCCTACACGAGAGTGACGGCGTTGAGTTTGCACCCGGACACCGACTGACTGATCTCGACTATACCGATGATATTGTCACACTTGCATCAAGTTTTCGTGATCTGCAGTCTATGGTGTCACGCGTGAACGAGTTCGCTAAATCGGTCGGCTTATTCATAAACTCTGGGAAGACCAGAGCGCCTTCAAGCTGCATCTCTCACCAGGAGAAGGCAGCTCTCGGGATTGATGGCTGTAAACTTGAGGTCGACAGTTTTAAATACCTCGGGTCGAGGCTGCTGCCTAATGGACAGAGTAAGGACGGGTTTTCTCAAGTCCTAGAAAATGCCTATGGATCCGACGCCACATCTCCAACGCCACTAAGATTCGCGTGTATCGTGCATCTGTCCGGTCTGTCCTTCTCTATGCTCATGAATGCTGGGATTTGTGTGTGGAGGGCGAGCGAAAACTGGAGGTATTTGACCACCACTGCTAGAGGATCATCCTTCGAGTGAAGTACACCGACTTCCTCTCAAATGAGACAGTCTGCGCTCGCTGCGACAGCATCGAAAGGATAACCCAGACCATCAAAGAAAGGCGATTGAGGTGGTTTGGGCATGTTCTTCGCCGTCCTCCTCAGGAGCTCAGTGTTACTGTCCTCGATTCGGCACCGTTACCCAATTGGAGGCGTCGAAGAGTGAGTAAACTCAAAGCCTGGCTCGACACAGTTCATCAAGACAAGGAGGTGGTTCTTGGACCTTCGGTATTCGGTCTCCGTCATTGGCGAAGAGAATGGGTTGAACAACCCAGATCTGCTGCCGCAGATCATCACGCGCGGATAGGAACAGTATAGGATATCATCGAGGCCGGCTAAATCAGGTATGATCGCAGTCGTACCAAGTACAAGTAAGTATTTTAAAGTAATCCCGTGAATGTACTTCTGGGTGTTGTTACTGTTGTGGCTAGTATTTAACCCAGAGGTTGTCGATTAGAATCTTTGTGTTACAGAAAGGGGAGCTGGCAATGCAGCAGTAAAGGACGTCCGAGGAGCGAGACGAGTGGCGAGTGGGAAAGGAGCATTTGTAGGAGTAACTAGGGAGACTAAATTGGCCGATCTGACAGCAGCAGCATGGACTGCCGGAAGACCGGAAGAGTTAATGCTGCCGCTACCCTCACTGCCACTGGAACCCGTCTCGAGGCGAGTTCTTTTTACTGATGGTGACGAGGCGGAGAGGGAATTCAGACCAGATCTACGACGGGGATTACGCATGAGGGACTTGTACCCCGCGGCATAAGGGAGTTTTTGAGCACCACTGATGTCGATAGTAGCTTGTCCTAGAGGAGGAGAGACTCCGATGTTGTGGACATTCATGGCGGGTATGAAGTCGGCGGCTGCCGCCGCCGCCGGATATTGCGAGACCACTAGGGAGATGAAAGGCTCGGTGTTATTTGAAAAATCCAAGTGCGGAATTGTCCACTAACAGCGGCCAAAGCTTGGGCTTGCAGTGTCACGTGCAAGAAGTTTCGGGTTGATATACAAATACCTTGTGTCGCAGCTGGGCGATCGCGCTTTCGATCCCTTGGTTCTGCGGATAAGGTTACATCAGGTTTATGTGGATACAACCTGTATCGCAGCAAGCTAGGTGGGAGAGTTCAAAGCCATATAACTATGAGTTGGAGACTATAAATTTAAAATACAATTTGAATTCAGACCACTTTATAAAGTTCTGAGTATTGAGTTCATCAAGACTGCTTTCTGCGGAGATTATCTTTGCATCACCTTACACCCCACTCTGACTCTCCTTTAAACGACATTTTGACGTTAGTGGTTGGTTAGTCCATTGCCTGTGTACCAATGGCTTTTCTGTCCTGAGGAACTGTTGCCCTCTTAGTCAAGACTAGGGTCTATGCTTGATTCCTCTCAGCTGAACCGCTTTCATACAAAAGGAATTTCTTGGGGAGCACCTACGCTCCGAACGTCAGGTCCACTGTCACTTCACATACAGAGGGTCAGACTCTTCGACTATGAATCCCTCGCAATTGCGCATGTTATCATACTATGCAGACTTGCTTGGAGCTCGGTTAATCCGAATGTCGTCTGAAGCTAAACGTTGTGTTCCCAACAAAAGCTCACGCCAGCCCAGTTTGCGTTGTTTGCCTCGATACCGCCTCCAAACTGGTGTCAGCAGAGCTACTTTGTCTGAATGTGATATGTTCCCCCAAGAAAAAATAGACAAATCGCGGTGGATACCCAGTCCGAAAGGCAGCTTCAGCATGACAAATTTATTTTATGGCTGTGCACGACTGTCATGTCACAGTGTCGCCATAATACCTTACAGCACCTCATGCAATAGACACTGTCAGACCCAAAACCCTCGCATCCTTTTAGCATTACTGTTGGTAGGCCACGACTGTAAGCCACAGCAGGCTACCGCCGAGGACGCTACCATTACCAGTCACCCATAGACGGGACGAGGAGCCAGTAGCTAGACCAACAGACAGCCNAGCGCTGAGAGGGGAGATGCGATAGTGACCAGCTCGGAAATCTAGGATTTCAGGCTCTCTGTACGATCGTCATCTTGCAGGTTCGTTGGTGCATCGCGAAGAAATCCTCATGATGCTTTTCGCTCATTCGGACAAGGAGAGTTGACGTGAGGGATGTTGCTATATATTTTCACCCCTCTTGCCTACAGGACATGTCATACTTGCTTTTATTCGTGCTTGTTACAGCTGGGATAGTACCGGACCTAGCCAGCCTCGATGATATATCTGATCATGCCACGTCGCGCACGACAGCCCACGGCGGCTTGTCTGGAGAGATCACACCAGACTCCTCCAGTGGTGCAGGTAAAGTGCTGGTCGAAGAACCGCCTCCATGTTTATACGTACTGTGCGGAGCCGGGTTCTGTGTGGGCAGCTGTGTTAGTCCAAGGGCAACGATACAGACCTCGTGGGGCAAACGGCGATGAACGTGCCTACACCACGTAAGTCGTTTTCCTGCGATACCCTCGCAATGTTGCTGCAGCGAATAGGAAGTGTTACGCTAAAAGCGAAGTCAATATGCGTCTCATAAATGATAGTTCTCGGGCGACGGCAGTCAAACCCAGCTTTCTATCATCCGCATGGCTCAGCATTCGTAAGTGTAGAGGAGGACTGGCTGGACGGGGGCCCGGTTCATTCAAGTCTTTCCGGCGGCAGAGGTGTTTAATTGGACCAGTAAACGCCTCCTAAAGACCAAAAACATAAACAGCATTTATCCCTGAGGCGATGTCTTCTCTGTTCTGCTCATTGGGTAGCAGCCTCTCCGAGGTATTCGGAAGTGTCCACGGCTTCAAGTTGGCAACAATGTTATCCACAGCCTTGATGTATAAGCCGTCAGATCTATTGACATTATTCACCCACATCAGTAGGCTTTGTAGGCCATCAAAACATGGCGCAAGCGATATCGGCAGCAGGGTCCAAGTCAGTTAGCTGGCGTTTGGGTGCGAGAATTCAGATAATGGCGTATCGAAACAATGGGCAACAGAATGCAATCGCGTCTAACATTCTTCCCTCACAAAAACTGCCAAAGATGGTGTACTGCCGGAGTCACATTACCACCACACCGTCATAGAGTTGCCCCAACACTTGCGCAAATCGTTTCGGACGAACTATTACCTGCACCTGGTACAGATGTGATGATGCCGGACCTAGTAGACCTCGATAATGTCGCAGGTTATGTCTCTCCACGCGTGACAACCCGTAGCGGCAAATCAGGAGAGATCGCCCCAGATTCCTCATCAATGATGTAGATCAATTACCGGCCGAAAAACCATCTCGATGTCTCAACAGACTGTGCTGAGCAAGGTTTTAAGTTGACCCCTTCTTCGATGCCTCCAGACGGTCAGCCGTGTCAATCTAAGGGCAGCAACACTGGGTTCCTGGGGCGAACGACGATGAACCTACCTAAACCACTTCAGTCGTTTCTCTTGGATGGCCTGAGATACCCTCGCAATATTGCTGCAGCGAGTTCGAACTGTCTTATTAGGGACAAATTCACCATACTCCATGTGAGGAATGGTTTTCAAGCAACGGCGGCCAAACACTTCACTCTTCCATCATTTACGTCTAGGAGTCACCATTCATAACCGTACAGGAAGATTGGCCAGACGGAAGCCCGTTAAGTGTAGGTCTTCTTAGTGCGGGAGATATTGAGTCGAGCCCATGGGCACTTCCCAAGACTTGTGAAAACACCGCGTGCAACGTTTATTCCGGAGAGGTTATTGTCTCTGCTCTGCACAATTCGCATAAGCATCTGTCCGAGGTATTTGAAACTGCCCACTCTATTAAGTAGGCAACACCTTGTTTTCCACAGCCTTGACGAATAAACAGTCTGATTTATCGACATGATTCACCCATGACAGTAGGTTTTGTAGGGTAGTGACATTAATAGCATGATTCAGGCCAGTTAGCTGGCGCTTGGGTGTGAAATCGACACCATGAGGTCCGTGTAGAAACACTCGGAATTCAACTAATGGCGTATCTAAACAGAATGGGCAACAGCATACAATCGTGTCTAACGCCAGAGGGAATAGCGAGCGACTGTGAAAGACCGCTTTGAACCGGAATTTGCCCACCGGTGGTGATAAAGAAGGTCTTAATTATGAAGACAACAGTCAATGAAGTCAACAAAATAGGTAACCATTGGTCGCTGGTAGTAATGGTGGAGTCGGGAAGTGCGCCGCGATATGAATACTTGATCAATGCATACGTGCCCAGCTCGGGACTTGGCTTATTTGGATCTCGTACCAGAGGCACGCATATTGAAACAGCCTAAGAATTAGAATGGGGACGGCGTTTGCAATAAGATCGATGAGAGTCATTCTGTGGTAGTTCTCAGACTTTTTTATCTCCCCTCTTGATGGCGGGCACAGGGGTAGCCAATCTCCTGTCATCGGGAACGAAATCATCTCCTCACTCCTGTTAAACCACCTCATGAAGCCAGGGCGCCAATGTCAACTAAAGACTTGTAGATTTCAGAAGAATACTATCCTCTAAGCGCCTTTTGCGCAGTCTCCGTATCGTATCGACGAATTCCCCCAAGAATTGGGGTCACACGACACTGCAGACTGGAGAGGGCTGAGAATCTGCTGTAAGGGAGAGCATTGAGATGATGGGTTAGCAATCGAAGTCGTGAAGGTGCTGGGGAGTTTACACTAGTGCTCTGCTCTGACTGAATAATCGTCAATAAGGTTTCAGCCAAAATCTGGACCGGAGTCACTCAGTGCCGAGGGGCAACAACCGATTATGGTGGACGATTCTATAGAGTTATTGAGTGTTACTAACGCTCAAGGCCCGCTCCCATGAAGGTGTCCACTTCAGCCTAATAATTGTCGAGGACACCTCAGGCTGATTTCCGGAGTTGGTGAGAAGAACGATCTCACCGATCTCAGGAACGAAAGACCCGCTGCCACGGCAAGAAACTTCTAGAGTCGTTTGTCGGATCTGGTGCAGTTGCGGACAAAGCAACTACGTCGGATAAACCGGAAGACAGCTCCGAACGAGAATGGCCGAACACGCTGCAGTGGTGCGGAGAAATGACACTAGCTCTCAAGTCGCGGCTCATTCGACGAGATCCGGCCACACAGTCAAATTTGACGAGGCCGCAATTCTCGCAAGAGGTGACAACTGCGTGAGCGGGGAGCTTCTTGAGTCATGGTTTACTGCCCCCTGTTCATTAACAAGTGCAATGATCTTCCCCTTCCATACTCGGTGCTGAGATTTCGCCTAGGCGGAGTAATTAGTCACGCGGGGGGCGTACAGGTGAACACTTTTCCCAACACCAGGGTCGATGGGTCAGATGGTCGAGCAATCATCACACCAACATCCAACGCACGTGAGGAGATTGCAGCATTTAACGGCGCGAATATCGGCCATCAAACTGTCATCACACCACGTGCAACGATCCCTAATGAAGGGGGGAGCCGTAAATATTAATAGGTATGCGGTAGCATGACGACTGCATCCTTTAAATACTGCAGTCCCTTGTGCACGAACCGCCGGTATCTGCTTTTGTCTCTGATGATGGGGTGGAGTAGGAATCCGAAACGTCAGACGAATAAAGCTCTTGTCCCATCGATCGTGTCTCCTTCCTTAAGAACGATCTTTGTTTCACCTAACTGGATTTGTACGTACAGGCAGCTCTAAGGTTCTCCAGCTGGTTCAGTCACCACGGTGACATTGGGTGAATCCGTGACTCCCTTCAAATTCCCCGGACTGAGGATTTTAGTGATAGTTGTTTGCTACTGCCATTTTTACGCGGGTCGCAAAACGAGGCCGGTGTTTAATGCCGAGTTCGGCTATGCTGGGCTGTCCTAGTCATGTGACATTAGGCTGTCCTGCACGTGATAATTTCAGCGCGGAAGAAAGGTGAACTTTCAGGCATGTGTGAACAAGAATATGGTCTGACCTATGAGGTTTACCATCGCGCACACATCTACGACACTTTGAATTAACTAGACTGTAGTCAATCTGGCTGGTCAAACTATCATGTGCTGTGGTGCTGGAAGGAGCTGTTATTGACGATTAGTCGCAAGAGAGTCAAGCTTGGAGCAGCTAATACGGTGACCTTTTTAACAGTTGCCTGACCTAGGCTCGGCAAGCGAGTGTCTCCGCCAACTCTTGCGGATGCAAGTAAAAAGCCTTTTAACCGTGCTGGTAAGCACCTGATGTTGGTGCATGCAGGGATACGGAGAAGATGCCGCGAAACGTCTTTCCAACCGTGTGTGGGCCGACTGTCCCACGCAAGCAGCGTATGGTTTATTTGTTGCGAGATGGCGATCGCAACACCGCATCACCAGACGAGTTGTGTAGGCCTCTGTATTACAAAAAGCGAGATAGAGTTGCATCCCGGAATCTTGATTTTCCGAAAGCCCGAGTTCAAAAGTCGAACTTAAGACGGGCAGAGGACACCCACGCTGTACCGATAAATTTCAAGTGTCGGCAGGTATTGGGTAGTAGAGTTCAGAGACGTTAGTACATAACACCACTCAATATCAAGAATCCGTCACCGACTGAGTAGTCCAGCCCGCAAACTATTCACCGTAGCCATTCCATGCTGAAAACTGCATTCTGTAAAAGGTCGAGCTAATATTAGGGGTCCGATCTGCGATTTCTCATGGACTGCGGAGATTCTGAGAACTGTGGCGCCAAGATAAAATAATTTGTCAAAAAGGTCGCGGGGACCGCAGGTTCGCTGTCGGTTCAATTTTTACATCCGTAGGCGAACCCCTTTGCTCGTCTAACTTAGTTTTGGCGTTGTATGTACAGTGATTGGTCAGCAGAATGACGTGGGTCTTTTCGTTGTGAAAATCTTCATACATATTCAAATATTGTTTCCACAGTTTTCATATATGTTCCCACAGTTACTATATCTGGCACTTACTGTTCTTCTATCCTATTGGTTATTCGTTTCATTGGTCTCTGGTCTATCATAAATTTGCAGGCGGCGGAGTCTTCAATTGCCTTTCATTCATTCAGACATGCCTTTTGTTTATTTTTCATTTAACACGTTCGCTTCCGTTGCTATATATGGGTAGAAGAAGAATTTCAGCGGAAATATATCTATTTTTAAGTGTTATTGTATGAATTTCGCTCCCCCCTACGCGTTGATGTCCCACCCGTAAAACTCCTACTACCACCATTCCCGTATTACACGGGCCTGACATTACTGGTTGCGAAGTGGGGTTGCACAACTTACCGTTGCCCCCTTTTCTTTTAGATTGTCAGTGGAGCAACCGACCGAAAAGGAAAACGACGCTAGTCGTTCGAGAACTATCGCGCTACAAGGTACACATTGCTGCTCTCACGGAGACCAGCTTCTCCGAACAGAGAAAACCGGGGAAATGGGTGTCGGATATACCTTCTTCTTGAGCAGCTACCAAAAGGCAGAGCGACGCGACACTGGTGACGTCTTTGTCATCCGAAACGACATCGCGGGACGACTGCCCTGTCCGCCACACAACAGCAACAATCCTGCGCCCGCATAATCGCGTATCTCAATTCGCCACCATCAGAAACGTCTACGTTCCCAAAATGACCAAAATCGAAGATGTGGTAAAAAATTCTGTGGGTTCAGTCACGCCCTCCCGGAGAGTGTGGAGAAGCTGGAGAAGCTGGGGGTTTTTATGACTTAAATGCCCGCGTTGAGTCAGACCTCGCTACCTAGGAGGGAGTGCTGGGTCACTGTGGCCACGCCTGATGCAATGACAACGGCCTCCTCCTTCTGCGAACCTACGCAGAATACCGTTTCCCCCTGACTCACACCTTCCGCATACTGGCGCCGGAGAAGGCGACCTGGAAGCATCCCCAACTGGGGCGTTCGCAGTTGTTGGACTACCTTCTTGCCCGGAGCCGAGATCGACAGGACGTGCTGATGAACCAGGCGATCCGCGACACCGATGGTTGAACTGATCACCGCCTCTTCATCTTCAAGATGAGGCTCCAAATGCAACCTCACAGGAGACCACAAGGCAGGCGAACACCGGGTGGAGTTCCGGGGATGTCATTTAAGGAACACGATCTATCCCACCTCCCCGGACGCCCTCAACCGTACACGTCGTTAACACCACGACTAGTTTGACAACGTCGCGGACACCAGCAAACTACTCGTCGAAAATAACAATCTGCACAAAGTCCACATCGACCGCCGGTTCTGCGCAAACAAAATGGCATTCTACAGATGTCGCCGTTTTGAGCAGCAATGGCTGCCGTCGATGTAGGACACCTGGATGGATCATGAGATCGAGGAAATCCAAAGGTACGCAGACCGAAATGAGACGAAGATTTTCCCCGCATCAATCAAGGTAGTCTACAGCACCACGACGGAATTATGGCGCACGTCATGCCCAACGGCACAGTCTCATGCGCATTCGCGATTAACAATGGAGTAAAACAGGACTGCGTACTCGCGCCTACCCTTCTTATTCTCATGTTCACTGTCGTGCTGATGGACGCCTACCGTGATGCTCGTCCTGGAATCAACATTGTCTAGAGGGCCGAGAGCCAGCTTCTCAGCACACGACGAATGTAAGCGCTCACGCGGACTCCAACAGCCACTGTCCACAAAATTTCCTTCGTGGGCGGCTGTACACCAATGCCCAAAACGGAATCAGTCATGCAGAGGATTATGGACCTTTTCGACTTCAGCTGCACAAATTGCGTGGTAAGCATAAACAAGGACAAATCGATGAGTCATGCCCCAGTCATCGCCCAATAGGGCACCCTTCGCGTCGCCGTCAACGGCATACGGCTGAAAACAGTGAAGAATTTAGTTTATTTAGGCAATAAACTCTAAGGCAGCATCAGCATCGATGACATAGTGGACCACGCCATCTTCGAAATCGGTCAGGCCTTTGGCCGACAGCATGCCTCCCTCTAAAACAGCCGCTGACTTTGACTCAACACGAAGCTCAAAATGTGCAGGGCGGTGGTCCTGACAACACCCCTATACGGGACGGATGCATGGACCGTCCACACCAATCAACCCCCAGAAACACAACTCTATCTACCTCGGTTGTCTCCGAAGAATGCCAAAGCCGGAATGGCAGATCCCAATCTCAGACATAGAAGTCTTTTAATTGACAGGAATTTCCGGCATCCACGCCGTGTTGGAGCAACTGCAATTGCGATGTAGCAGCCATCACGTGAGGACGGACGACGAGCGCCTACTCACACGACTCTTCTACGGAGACGTCGCTATGGGTGTTGGTTAGCAAGGAGGACAAAAAGACGCCATAAGGACACCCTGACGAACTCTCTGAAGCACTTTCCAATCAACTCGGAGACCTGAGTGAACTTCGTCCAGGATAGACCGACTTGGAGAAGAGCAGTGAAGACTGGGGCAGCAATGAACGAAGCGAACCTGATCGACGCTTCCGAAGGAAAAAGAGCGGCTCGCGAGTCTCTGGCCCCTCCGTGCCACGACGTCAACACCCAATCCCTTCCCATATGCTCATGCGAGTTGATCAGTCTCTTCGGTCAACCCCGGATCTAGTGTAACAGGAACTCGACAACGCCGTTATCGTCACCCACTCACCAACCCCCACGACGGCGACCATCATCGCCACTGGTGATCACATTCCAGATG